GGTTGTTTCAAACTTCTTCCATTAAGGGTAACAGAGACTTCAATGAAGCAGAATTTTTTTACTGAAATCTTCCACAGATGTGTGGCTTGACGCAAACCTGTTTCTGAGCTCTACAGGCAGTTCTTTTGACCTCAGGGCTTGGTTTTTGCTCTGATATGCATTATCAGCTGTTAGACCTTTTATTAAGATGTGTGTGTCTCTCCAAATCATACCCATTCAATTGAATTTGCCACAGGTTAACTTCACTCGAAGTGTAGTAACATCTACAAGCAATATGAATGCTCCTGAGCTAAATTTCAACTGTCCCAGATAAGGGTATGAATACTTATGCAATGGAATCATTTAAGTTTTTTATTTTAAATAAATTTGCAAAGATGTTAAAAACCTGTTTTTTGATTTACCATTATGGTGTATGGAGTGTAGATTGATGTGGGAAAAAAGTAATTTAAAGCAGTTTAACATAAGGCAGCAACATAACAAAATGTGAAAAAAAATGAAGGGGTATGAATATTTTCACAAGGCACTGTGTGTGTGTGTGTGTGTGTGTGTGTGTGTGTATATATATATATATATATAATTAATGACAGTATTTGTGGTATGGCAGTGCTCTATCCACTATCGATCTTATGTAAAGCATAAATATGCATCTTGACCAACTTATTTTTTGAAACATTTCACAACTGTTTTCAACATTGATAATAATCAGAAATGTTTCTTGAGCAGCAGATCAGCATATTGATTTCTGAAGGATCATACAATATATTGAATTAGAAAGCAGTTAACTTAATTTGAAATAACATTTCACAATATTACTGTTCTTACTGTAGTTTAAGGTCCATTCACTCTTATTCTTCACTCTTAGATACGAGGCTCATCTTCAGACTGATCAGCTGACCTTGTTCCCAGTCGCTCAGCAGTCTGCCGGCGGTGATGCAGGCTCGTCTGTTTCCTCTTATGAGTCTGTCTGGAGTCACTCAGACATTTACACCAGTGTGGATGATGTCAGGTGTGCTGGGGGTGACGGGACAGCTCTTGTCATCCATCTTTCAGACGGTAACGTCAGGGTGGACATCCCCTGCAACACAGATACCTTCACGCTGCACAACGACAAGAATGACTTTGTGTGAGTCGAGTGTGCTTTCAGTGACTGATCTTGACCTCTCAATAAAAATCAGTCAGGAGTAAATGATTGTGAGATCAAAATTTTCTCAACAACATTCTTTTTTTTTTTTTTGTCTTTGTTAGGTTCCGAATACCAAAAAGTGACCATATGACCCCAGAGGCCATAACAAATGAGCGAGATGCCTGGATGAATGCGATCAAACAGCTATGTGTGGACTGGAAGCAAAAGTCACAACTTGAACATTTCTATGAAGCCCCTGAAAAAGATCTCACTGATGTTACAGAGTCAGAAAGTAAGACACAGAAGAGCCACGTGCCACTCACACCTCCACCAGTGCCACCTTCACTGAGACCACGCTTGCCCAGAACATCCCCGAATGTTCATGCAGCTTTTCCAGCAGCACCAGAGCCAGAAACCGCTTCCCTGGAAGCATCAGAAGCAGAACCGAAGCCAACCGTTACTGCACAGAGCAGAGCTGTGCACAAGCCTGACCGGACGCCCTCACCAGCGGCCACGTGCTCATCACCGGCTCCGTTTGTTTTGCCCCCGCCGTTGCCTGTGCCGTCAGCAGTGCGAGGTCCTGTTCCAGCTGCCCCTTTGCCCCCTCCACTGCCCATGAAATCTAAACAGCTTTCAGAGAGGACAAAAGCTTTTCACTGGGACCTGCTGGCTCAGGATAAGGTATCAGCTTATGCGTTCTGTTTTAGATTTGAAAGGGCTCCAGATGTGGCAGATTTTTGGTCAGACTAGTGTCATTTAGATGCCATTATAGTTATTAGGAATATTTTGAATTATTTTTTATTTTTATATTTTCCAGCTTAATTTGAGGAAACCTTAAAGTAATTTTTTTTTCATTTTATTATTATTATTTTTTAAATATGTCTATATATTTTTTTTATTAATTTGTCTTTCAGACAGCGTTGTTTTAGTATATTTGAGATACTATTATAGTTTTTATGAATAGTTTGAATTTATGAATATTATGAATAGTTTATTATTTAGTAACATTTTAGTAATTATGTTGCATGGTCTTTTTCGGTTTATATATATATATAAAATTTTCATTTCAGATCAGTGTTAGTGAGATATTATTATAGTTTTTATGAATATTTTAAATGAGATTTTATTTTTATGTTTTCAGTTTTCATTGTAATTTTAGTTAAAGTTTTAGTCAATTTTTGTATATTTTCTTTTATATTCCTATATACTGTATATATATATATATATACAAGAAACATCTCATGAATGCACTGGGACACATCCTCAGTGATGTACCCTGGGGTCATTGGGTGTTTCGGGTCTCGCAACATCATACACCCTCGCCCAGGCCACCCAGCCGGGGTTGATCAAGCCCTGACTTGCCCCAGTAGCAGCCCATGGATCAGCCCTCTTAAACCAAAGCCACCTTGTGGCCTTCTCTGCAGCTTCGCTCGCGGCTTGAATGGCCCTCTTCTTGGCCACCCCTGTAATGCCCAAACGACTGAGGACTTTGCAAAGTGAACGTCCTGCAAAGCCTCTACAGCCGACTTCTATAGGCTCATAGAAGGTTCTCCAGCCTCTCTCCCTGCACTTC